TAATGTAAATATCTGATATGCAGGATGTATTTTCATTGTTACAAATTGAACATAATTAAAGCATGGTGATCAATCATAAAACAATATGTAATTATATATTGTGAAATATTTATTTCTAATTACAAAGAAATGAAATTTTGTCTTGAAGGATGGTGTAGCATGGGTAACAGTCTTCACGCAGGGTACTCACTAGTATGTGGGTGTATCAGCATGTGGGCGGACCTGCCTGGAGACGGATAGAGGAGCGGTGTGTCAGTTCCTAAGAACCGATGGTCTTAGGAGACCCCTGTGAAAGGGTCATTTGACCCCCAAAGGGGTCGCGGCCTGCAAGTTGAGGACCGCTGCCTTTGGCAGTCTGGTGACACCTTGATGAGTCCTTCTCAACACAATGTGTCTAAACACATAAAATGCAATGCATAGGACGCCAAAGAAGCCAATCACACTCAAACACAGTTAGCAACCTATTTTTGAAATCTAACTCATGACATAATATTTTCTTTATTAAAGTATCTAAATGCTCATGGAAACAGCAGTCAAGATATCAAACAATGTATTGCATTGGGCAAATCTGTTGCATAAGACCTCTTTAAAGTATTAATAGAACAAGAATATCATTTTAAGGCTGGGCTTGACTAGAGAAACAAATTCAGGGACACTCATAAATGTGTAAGAGAGAGCTTTATATCAAAGAGCAATTGTATTGAGAAAACATCCCAGCCCAGTCCAGATCAAGTTTGTAAGTCCAATATTAACCCATATAGCAACCCTATAGGACAGGGTACAATTGCCCTGAAAGTTTCCAAGACCATCACTGTTCGGAGGAGATCAAAGTCCAGTCTTTCTCCAGAGCAGTGGCTGGTGGTTTTGAGCTGCTGGCATTGTGGATTGCAGCCAAACGTGTAACCACTACACAACTAGGGCTCCACAGTCAGACAGTAGAAAGGTCTAACAGGTGAACAATAACGCGAAGGAGGAGTGCGTTCCTTAGAACAATCAGCATCTGAGCTCAATAGGGCAGCATTTGACCAAGGACAAAGTCCAGGCATGAAGGGTTAGAAAAGTAGGAATGGAACCTGGGAAAAAGGAAGAAGTGGGAGGAGTAATGTTGCATGGTGGGAATAGCAATCAATAACACGAAACAAACTGTATAAGAATTGTTGAATGGAAAATCGATTCACTCTGTAAACCTTCACCCAATTCACAATAAAACGTTTTTTAAAAATACGTAAAAACTACCAATGCCTGGGTCCTACCATGACCCTATGAATCAGAATCTCTTGGAGTGAAATCATCGTCAGTCCTCCAGCAAGTCCGGATGTGAAGAATCACTGGTCTACTCTACCTGGAAGGTTCCAGGTGTTTCTCTAGAAAACATAACTAGATATGGAGGATCCTATTTTTAACAAAATGTATCAATAGTTCCCTTTAGCCAATGTTTCCATCCGTATCTGAGGGCCTTAGACAGCTCACACCTCTCTTATCTTTATGCTGCCTTTCAACAGGCCTAGACTAGTCTAATCTCGTCTCCCAAGCATGCCACCTGGTTGCCTTTGCCCTCACTGCACTTTCCACCCAGAATGGCCACCTCCATTCCAAGGCTGCTTCACCCATCCGTCAAGGCCGACTTCCGTCTAGACAAGAGGGGTTTGTTTGAATCTGTCCAGGGTACATACTGGTTTTATTGATTTCTCTCTCATAATCCAGTAAAATGAGCCCCTGTGGCCCGGGGCGGTTAGGCACTGTCCGGCACGGGAGAAAGATGAGGTGTCTGCTCCCAGAAATCCTGGAAAGGATCCTCGGAGTGCACATCGACAGGATGGCAGGGCAGTGGGCTTGGCTTTCCTTCGGTCTGTAATTCAGTCGACACTTCTATTGCAGGCACTGCGAGAGCATGCTTATACATTGTTTGAAGCTCTAGAGTTCTTGAATGACTTTTCATGAGGCTTATACAATTTGAATTGGTAACTTAAAAACATGGTATCTATGACCATGGTGGTTTCTTTTTTATTCTTTTCTTCCCCCTTAAAACCCCAATGTGAGCCATGGTAATAGGTACTTATACTGTTTGGCCTTTTGACGTCAAGGCTCCCAGGTGACTACTTAAACACAGAAGTGACTTAAGGATAGTAGTGGAGAGTCTCAAGCGTCTTTGATCTCCCACCCCAGGATTCTCTGACTATGTGGAGATTCTCTGACTATGTGGAGAAGGATGGAGATTCTCTGACTCTGTGGAGATTCTCTGACTATGTGGAGAAGGATGGAGAATCTCATAACTCTGACTATGCGGAGAAGGATGGAGAACCGTGTTTTCAGTACAGAGGATAGTTTAAGCAATACCAAGAAACCTTTAGAACTTAACTATCGACACACAAATAATACTTTTGTTTTCCAGGTAAACATAGGTTGGCTCTGAAATCATTGCAAAGCATTCGCTGCCAACCTAGACAACACACAGGCGGGGTCGGGGTGGGGATGGGGGGGCGGGGGAGAAGGGGGCGCTATAAAGTTTCTAAAAGGTCTCAGTGTTCGATCCAAACTGACTGTTTTTACCAAAGGCTGGGCATGGGGGTGAGGATATTCAACCAGCTAGTGAACAGAGACAGCCCAAAGTTCTTTCCACCCCTGCCTCGGGTCCCTGTCCCCAGAACGGATCCCCTGCTCCCCGGCAGGGGCCAAGGCCAGTGCTGGTCCCACTGCTCCAGCAGCTCAGCCTGGGAACGTGCAGGCCCGAGGGCAAGGGGCGGCGGGGCGCCCGGGCACCGCGCGTCGCCAGGCCCACGCACACAGGGACCCCCGGGAGGGAGCCCCACCTACCTGAGAACCAGGAACTTCTCGCCCAGGAACGCCAGCGTGATCCCCAACAGGCTCAGAGACACCAGTCGCCCCATGGTGCAGGAGACGCCGCTGACAGGCCAGGCCGGGCTGCACAAGGGGCGGTGCCCGCTTCCCACTTTTGCGACTCGGGCGTGGACTCCGCCCCATCCCTAACTTCGCCGGGCCTGGTCCCAAAGCGCCCAGGCTCCGCCCTCGCGCCCCTCCCCGCCTGTCAGCAGATTCTTCATTGACCAGTCACAGTCCGTGGTTGGGAGAACCATCCTTCAGCCCTTAGACTAGGCTGAAGGCGTGATTCTGGAAATCACCGCCTTTTCCAAACAGCCAGCCCACACAGAGCCCTAAAGCTGCACCCATACCTTTCTCACGCCACTACTTTCCCAAAGGATCCCTTCCTGGCTATCCTGATGAGGAAGTACTTCAAGTTGTAACATTTTGTCCTAGTGGGTTATGCCTGGGGCACAACGTCAGCAGTTCTGAACCATCATTCCTTCCAAGGGAGGAAGAGGAGGCTTTCTGCTTCCATAAAACTTCTCATCTTGGAAACGCACAAGGGCAGTTCTCCTGTGCCCTACAGGGTGGTTATGAGTCACTTTGACTCAGCGGCAGTGAGTTTGGTTTTGAGGAAAAAAGAAACCAGAACATGTCAGTAACTCACTTTCTTAGCATAGGCTGTAAATGGCAGGAAACAGAGATCCTGTTTTTAATAGTACTTCATGTAGGCTTCCATTGCAGCAGTACGTACATAGACAGGGAGCTGCCAGAAATTCAAGCTGGATCCAAAAAGGATACGACAGAAGGATCTTGGCTGAAAGCAGAGACTACCAGAAGGATGCTTACCTGTGTTTTATTGACTGTGCAAAAGTTGTGTAAATCATAACAAACTATGGATAGCAGTGCAAAGAGTGCAAATTCAAGAACACTCCATTGTGCTCGTGTAGAGCCTGTGCACCAAGAGGCAGGGGGTTGAACAGAGCAAGGAATACCACATGGTTTACAATCAAGAAAAGTGTGTGTCAGGGTTGTATCCTTTCACCATACATATTCTGTCTATGCTGGGCAAATCATCTGAGAAGCTACACTATATGAAGAGGAAGTGGGCACCAGGATTGAAGGAAGGCTTTTTAACAACCTGCCATACATAGATGATACAACCTTGCTTGCTGAAAGCAAGGGGGACTTGAAGCCCTCACAGGACTTGAAGATCAAGGACTGCAGCCTTCAGTGTGGATAACAACTCAATGCAAAGAAAACTGGACCAAACAGATAACATTAGGATAAACAGAGAAGAGATTAAAGTTGTCAAGGATTTCATCATGCCTGGATCCACAATCAATGCTTATGGAAGCAGCAGTCAAGAAATCAAACAATGTATAAACAATAAAACCTCTTTAAAGTCTTGTCACTTTGAGGACACTTGGCCCAAACCATGGTATCGCCATATATGCATATGAAAGTTGGACAATAAATAAAGTAGATCACAGGAGCATTGATGCATTTGAATTATGGTGATGGTAAAAAATATTGAAAGTACCATCGATTGCCAGAATAAATAAACCTGTCTTGGTAGAAAAACAGCTAGTTTGCTTTTTAGAATCGAGAACTTGATCTTCTGTCCTTTGGACATGTTATTAGAAGTGGCCAGTTGTTGGAAAAGGGCACCATGCTTGGTAGAGTGTCAATGACAAAGAGGAAAACCCTCACGGGATGATTGACACATAGCTGCAACGATGACCTCAGAGCCACGGGCATGAGGGCAGACAGGGCCTGGCAGAGTTTGTTCTATTGTACGGAGGGCCCGGTGAGTTAGAGCTGACTCGAGGGCACCCCAAACCATAACAGAGACCTAGGAATGTTGACACTTCTTTTTAATTTAAACCCAGTTTTATAAGGATAAGAGTTGTTTAGTTCTGTTTTCCCTTTAACAGCCTGGACTATATGTACCTTTCACCCTGGGTTTCGTTTTTTGAAAAACAATAAAACAAATAACATAGCTTCAACAGGGTGAGCCCCAATGGCGATGCCCTGCTGATACACTCTAATGTAAATGAGCATACGCAGACTCTAACAGGATGGCCGGGATAGCACGTGTTTTAATACAGCATGCCGGGCGTTCATGTATCAAGACCTTGTTTGTTCCCTAACCAACCGTACACTACGAAACTAAAAAACCCAAACCCTCAATGCCACTGGGAGGATTCCAGTTTAAAGGTGCACTATGTGTTGGGCTGCTAACCCCTTGAAATCATGAGCCACTCCAGAAGAAAGATGAGGCTTTCTAGTCCCATGAAGATTTATAGATTCCACCCAGGCAGCCTGGTAAAGAGCTGGCCCAGGGCCAATGAACCACACATCATCCGCTCCAGGTAAGTATAGGCTAGGTCACTTGGCCAGATGCTGTCTGTTGAGTGGCAGCCAGGTGAAGTCCCCCAGAGAAGGAGGCAGCCCTGCTAGAGGGTCAAGGCTTACTGATGGGAGGGGCAACACAGGAGAGGGCAGAGGGAATGGTCAAGTTTGGGCGAACATAGGTGCATGTCTGTTGGGGGGAGGGGAGGGAGGACTGACCACCGGTGGGGGTGGGGGTGGCAGATGAGAGACTGGGTATGCGCTTGCGATTTCTAGATGTGTGTGGGTGCAGTGGGAGGGCAGAGCTGATCCACGGTGTCTGAGGGTATCCCGGGAACCCAGGCCAGGTGCAGAAGATCACTGGGACACGAAATCCTGATCTTCGAGGTACAGGTTATGCTCCGGAGGCTGCATGGGTGAGACCCCAACTCGGAACTCTACTGGGTGAACTGGGCTCTACGCCAGACACCCTGGTAACCTGAGGACTTCAGTCAGAAAACACACCATGTCTGAGGAAGCAGAAGACAGCTGTACCAAGCGCGGTGCACTGTTGGTCAGCAAAGAAACAAGGTGTTGGTACAACACCATCCGGTATGCTGTATTAAGACTGGTGTTATCCCAGCAACCCTGTGACGGCCATCATGTTAGTCTGCTTATGCCCGTTTACTTTAGAGTGTATCACAGAAGTGCATCACCTCTTGAAGCTATGTTATTTGTTTTATTATTTTTCAAAAAATGAACACCAGGAATGTTGAGCCTACAAGGGAAAGAAAATATAACAAGGGTTTGGGGGAAGGGGTTAGAGAAGCATAGTGGAGACAAGAGGGAGATGTTGTCAAGAAGTCCAGGAAGGAAAAATATGTTTTCGAAAACATGTATGAATATGCAAGAAATTGTACAATTATCTTTGACATGACTGAACTCTGGAATGCTATGACATGCATTGTCTCCCAAATTACAGCAAATTAATTTAAATAAATAAAATGAAGGCATAAATCCAGGAATGGGGTCTGGGCTCACACTAAATCCTTGCCCCAATTTAAGAAGAATCAGTTCTTACTTCATGGCCCTGCTCAATACTCACCTCCACGAAACAGTCACTGAAGATACAGGCGCTACAGCAAAGTGCGGTGGAGAGAGCAGATGGTGCTGGGCTATCAATCTTAATAGCGTCTGGGGTTTTAAAGGCTTGTATTCAAACCAGCAGCCGTCTAAGTGAGGAGTCCACTAAGTCCACACGAAAGAGCCACACCAGCTTGTGTGATGCACAGAGGACAAGGACAAAACTCCGATACGGTGAGGAGAAAAGCATCAGAGCACACATGAGGAACGCGCCGTTTGAGGAGGGCGGTGGGACGGCGGGAGCCCTGCCCACCTGCAGAGGGTCTAGCGGATGGAGCCCCTGGCAGATCCACTCTAGCCACAACCAGAGTCTCCACCAGCCTGACTACGGTATCAGGCAGGGACCATGGTCATCTGAATCGTGCTGGATTGAACTTGACACTGGCCAGTTGACCACCCCATACACTCCACCTGAATCTGTTCTGGGTGCAAGTATCTCTTACTGGTTCCATGACAGACATTTCTTCCCTGGCTTTTTGATTATTGTTGGGATCTTTTCCTTCTTACACATTGTTAGTCCTTTTGTCTGTATAGTATTAGGTTTCTACCCTCACCACCTGAGTGCAGTTTTGTTTTTTATGGTTTTCGTTTGAGTCTCCCAGCTGTGAAGCACAGGAGGAGTGGATGCATACTGATAATAATGGAAACAAAGGGATATCGGGAAATAGGGGAGGGGTAGACAGGGAGGAAAAGGGGATTTCCGGAGTAACTAATGAAGATGGGAGTGGGGAGGGAGCACGAGAATGGGTTGTGATTGAATAAATCATCTTAAAGGTGATTCAACCATAGGGAAAGGAAAAAGATCTAAGATTGATATGGGGGTGATTGTACAATTCCCCATGATATGATGAACTATTGAATTATAATATGTAAATTGCTTGCCAATAAAATTGCTGGGAAGAAAAAAAATTATTTACAGTCTCAGATACCCATCGGGTTAGTTCTCCAATGCTCTGATCTACAGCTACACACATACACATACATACACATCAGGAGGTACCCCAAAAAATGAAAAAAATTTTCTTTCAAACATATGTATTTAAATTTCTTTTCAAAACAACTTTATCACCTTCAACATACTCTCCATTACCCTTAATGCATGTGCCAAATCTGTGATTACATTCTTGGAAACATTTTTCAAACTCATCTATTTGGATGGCTGACAGCAGCCCCCATGTTTTTTTCTTCACTCTTCTACATCATAAAATTGCTGTCCTTTCATGTCATTCGAAAAAACAAAAAGAAGTTGCATGGAACAAAGTCAGGTGAGTCAAGTACGTGGGCCAAGAGAAGCATGCTGGGTATGTTTTGTTTTTTGTTTTACCAAAAACTGGCGCTCTGAGATGGCTGCATTGTCATGGTGGCAAGACCTAGCTGCCACAAATTAGGCCTTTTTTTGTTGCACACTGTTAAGCAATCTTTTCAGAACCTCTAACTAGAAAGCTCAAATGAACTCCAAATGCACTATCCCCCTCACATAAAAAAAGAATATATATATATATGAAAGAGACAGAAAAGAAAGATACCTCTCGATGGTCAATCTCAATTCATTCCAAATTTGTTTCCGAACACTAAGAAGTTCAAGAGCTAATCATATTTTTCCCATGAGAAATCATGGAAAACCAAGTAAGTGGTTCTGAGA